ATTAGTTACACTAAAACATTTAAATCTTTAAAAAAAATTATATTGCTTCTAAATCGAAACAAAAGTGATAAGGATGTTTTATCAGAAAGTAAAATCTGTAAAATCTAATACATTTTAAATAAAGGTTAGTGTAGAATATAATAATTTAATATACAATCGTACATATAAAAAATATCTCTCCGTAGGTATGATAGAACAATACAACTATCATTATAGGTTTATATTACCTGTGATTATTCGCCTTCGTTTAAGGAATACTAATTATGTTTATTATCACAGTAACTCCTAATAATTCCGGAACAAAAGCAGTTAATTCACGTTTATGAAATGTCCTTTTATCTAGAACTGACCCAAGTATAAATAATTCGAGTACCTTTAATAAACTACCTGATCACATTTAGAGGAAATACCAGACGCAGTAGAAATTATGTTTCCAAGTACTGATCCTTTATGTGGCATAAATAATATTTAAAGATACACGAACTTAAAAGAAGGACCATGAAAGCAAGCGAGATAAATGCGATATATTTTTATATTAATTTGATTCTAATATAAATATATTAAATACATTTGCTTGTGATGTCAAGGTACTATCTGCAAATATTGCTCGCAATATTTACTCATCTTTGTAAAAAATTTGTTTTTTTCTCTATATGTTAAATGAATTCATTCTTAAATATTTTATTCAATAAAATGATAAATTTTATATAAACAGCTGCTGAATTTAGTACATTTACAATAATTTTGAAAATATTTTAATACAAACCAAATAATGTTCAGGTACATGGGAATATTTAAGAAATATCTTAAAAAAGAAAGATATCTAAAAATAATCAAAAATAATTTTATGAACAGAACTCAGTCTGCTATAAGCAATTCAAATTTGTACTAACAAATTTTGTTAAAACAAGTGGTAGATCTAAAAACAGTCATGTTTTTATTCTGCATTATATTCATCTGGTATATTAACACATGTCATTGTAGACACTCCATTCTTATTACAGGAACACACCCAATTGCCAAACTTCAATGTATATGTATATGTACGTCGAATACAAATTATTGACGAAATCCTGACACAATGTAATCAATATAATCCAAACTGCTTATTCCAGCTAAGAACTCTAACGCTGATAAGTCTAAACAGATATAAATTTTAAAGTATATATCTTACTATTAAATACCACCTTTAAAATAAATGATTAAAAGGATATGATATCTGAAGATTTAGTAAAATACTTAATAAAATGTCTACTGATCTTTTTTACGCCTGTTCTGTGATTATTAACAAATGAGTCATTTATCATTTATGTAACTTTAGTTGAACTAAAGAATATCTAAAAATGCAAATAAAGGTTCTTCCCAAAAATTTATTTTTAAATTTAAACTAGGGACTATTCTTTTCAATTTCAAATACGAGTATGCTTTTATTTTCCAAAAGTATTATTTTTAGGCCCGATTTAAGCGTACAACCGGTGAAGCTAACATAAATTAGAAGAACGTGTCGAAGAATAGACCCCGTTAACATGGATTTTTTCTATAGTATATTAACTAGTTCTTCATTTTGGACGTTTTTTTGTATTACGTATGAGAATGTTTATAAAGTTCTCTATTAATTTTTTTCCTATTCAAGATAATTGATGAAGATTAATTTGTGACTATTTCAAAACATATGTTAGATACTATAATCATTTCAATATGGCATCTTTGGCTGGCTTTTTCTGTTTGGAATTTTCAATCGACTTTGATTAAAAGTAGTATATACTTTGCTAACAGCTATCTCTATCCTTTGATATTCATAAGATATCAGTTATCTTTAGCAAGTTTAATATGCATGCTATAGATGTACATATATAGCATGCAAATCAAATACATATATGATATAGTATTCAACTTCTCTTGTTTTACAGATATATTGAGAAAACTACTATATCTTTCATACACAATAGTTTCAAAAATAAATTAGTTTAGAATTAGTATATATTGATCATCATAAATTTCACTATCTTTTGGTTTCTTTATTTTCGTTGATATGATTTTAAAACAGAAATTTATGTATATACATTGTGACCGAAAAGTTTCCGGAAATTTTAAATAAAACGCAAAATTCTTAATCTTCATCAATATTTATTTTATCTCCTTCAAAATATGCTCCATTAGAAGCGATACACAAATGCCAACGTTTCTTCCAATCATCAAAACATTTTTTATAGGCGCTTTCGGTATGGCTTTGAGTTCCCTCTGCGAATTCTGTTTTACGTCTTCTATGGATTCAAAACGCGTTCCTCTGAGTGGTAATTTGAGGTTGGGAAACAGGAAAAAGTCACACGGTGCAAGATCAGGTGAATACGGTGGCTGTTCGATGGTATTTATTGAATGTTTGGCCTTAAAATCGTTGATAATGTTGAACAAATTGAGGTGAATCGGAACAAGCCGGGCGTTGACACGTCGCATACACAAATTGTCCACCAAAATCAAACGAGCCATCTCACGACCGATGCCTAGCTCTCGTGCTATCTCTCTAACACTCACATGAGGATTTTTGAACACGATTTCCTTTGCCTTTTCAATGTTTTCGTCGGTGGTAGAGGTCGAAGGTCGTCCAGAACGCGGCATGTCTTCGACGGTCGTACGACAGTCCTGAAAGGCTTTGTACCACTCATAAACTTGAGTTTTCGATAAAACTGATTCCCCATAAGCCTTTTGTAGCATTCGCAACGATTCTGCACACGAAATTTCGTTCGAAAAACAAAATTTGATGCAAACTCTTTGTTCAATATTTTTTTCCATTGTTTTTTTCGCAACGCACTACTGAGGTGAACTGGTTTCAACAGCTGCCGTAAACGAACTGTCCGACAGATCGCGCTCATTTTTGGCATAGTAATTAAGGACAGTGCTGCCAAACTACATAAACTTAAAATATCGAAAAATATACAGCGCGCGAATTTTAAATGAGAATTTCCGAAAACTTTTCAGTCTTAATGTAAATAGAAATGCTTAGCAATCATAAAGAGAATTTTTTTTCTGAGACAACGACAAAATTTTTAATTATGTCTATTAAAGCAAATAAAAAGCAAATAAAAAAAAAAAAAAA